AAAATTACGCTTTTAAAAGAAATTATATAATATAATATACTTTTAAACTATATAATACGTATAATATACCCTAAGTATATACTTAATATAATATAATAATTTCAATATAAAAACTACTATTTAATTTAGAATAAGTAAGCTACCCTAATAAAATAAAACTATAATTCAAAAATAATATAAAAGTAATATAAAACTTAAAAATATATAATATTTTATATATACTTTAATAATTATCACGCTTTATAAAAAGAATATAATTAAATTATTTAAATATATTAGAATTATATATTATATATAACTATACTATAGAATAATTAAGAGAAATATTATAATTACTCTTATTAAATTTATTTATAAATAATAACTTGAAGATATAATATAATTTATAACTTTATTAATATTATTTAATAGTTTCTTTCCGGCTTTATAAATATAAAAAATCGATTTTAACGGGTTATATTTTTAAAAGAAATCATATAATATAATATATTTCTTAATTATATAATATATATAATATATCCTAAGTATATACTTAATATATATAATAATTTTAATATAAAGACTACTATTTAATTTAAAATAAATAAGTTACTTTTTATATAGAATAATATTAGTTAAAAAGTTAATAATAAAAGTTAATTATAAAAATTAAAAGTAGCCCTTAACTATAGAAATTCTAAACTTTAATAATAATATAGATTTTTAAAAGAAAAAGAGCTAAAAAGGTTTATAATTTTTTTAAAGTTTATAAAGATTTCTTTTATTTATATTATTTTTAATATTAATAAAAACTACTTTATCTAAATTAAGTAAATTTATTAAATAAACTTATTAAATAAATTTATTAAATAAACTTATTAAATAAACTTATTAAACGAACTTATTAATATATAAATTATTATTTTAGAAATACTTATTAATAAATTAGCCTCTCTTAAGCTAGGTACTCTTAATTAGCTTATTATAATTATTATAATTTCTCCTAATAGAGCAATTTATCAGCCGTATTATATATTATATATTAGAGAAAACTAGGTATATTACGCTCCGTACTTAATTACTAACTAAAATTAACTAACTCGATTATTATTTTCCTTTTATTAATAACTCCCAACCTTTTATTATCCGTTTATAGGGCGAACTTTACCTACTTTAACGCATATAGGACCTCTTAATACTAGCCTATATAAGTAATTAGATCCTATATTATATATTCTTTTTTATTAAGGGTTAGGGGACCCCTTATATAGTCCCTTATATTTATAATATAGCCCGTATTAAAAGGATTTCTAACCTTATAAAGTATAATTTTTAAATTAATATTAATATATTAGATCTTAGTATTCGTATTAACCTAGCTATTTATAATATTTATATTATTACTTAGCTAGATTTTATATTATTAAAAAGTATTATACTATTTTTTAAGTATATTTATATTAATTATAATAGCTAGAGTATCGAGGGGGCTTAATTTATTAAGCCCTAGAGGGGGGGACTTATTAAGGGGTATTTTTAAAAAGTTTTAGCCCGCTAGTTATTAATTATATACTAAGAGAGTAGGTTTTATTAAAGTAGTATTTTAATTAACTAACCTCTTAACTAGTTATTTAACTAGTTATTTAGATAGTAGTTTATATATATTAATAAGTTTATTTAATAGGTTTATTTAATAAGTTTATTTAGTAAATTTATTTAGTTTAAATAGAGAATAGCTTTGGGTAATATTAAAAATAATAAAAATAAAAAATTTACGAGCTTTAATACGAAAAATAATAAATATTAGCCCTTTTAACCCTTTTTTAAAAACTATATTGTTATTAAAGTTTAGAACCTCTATAGTTAAGGCTACTTCTAACTTTTATAGCTAACCTCTATTATTAACCTTTTAGCTAGCACTACTATATAAGTATATTACTTAGCTTATTATTAGTAAGTAGCTAAAGGGTATAGCACCTATCCCAAATTAAATAGTAGTTTTTATATTAAAATTATTATATTACGTTAAGCGTACTTAGGGTATATTATATATATTATATAATTAAAAGTATATTATATTATATAATTTCTTTTAAAACGTAATTTTGTTAAGGTCGATTTTTATGCTTATAAAGCTGGAAAAAACTATTATATAATTATTATAATTAATATAAATATATTTAAAGAATAGTATAATACCTTTTAATAATATAAAATTTAGTTAAATAATAATACGAATATTATTAATAATTAAGCTAATTTATAATAGTTTTTATTTAGCTTTATAAGTATAAAATATTAACCTTAATAGGATTACGTTTTTAATAAAATTATATAATATTATATACTTTTTAACTATATAATATATATAATATACCCTAAGTACGCGTTTAATATAATATAATAATTTTAATATAAAACCGCTATTTAATTTAGGATAAATAAGCTACTTATTTTAATAATAATATTAGTTAGAAAGGTTAATAATAAAAGTCGATTATAAAAACTAAAAATAGCCCTTAATTATAAAAGTTCTAAACTTTAATAATAATATAGAGGTTTTTTTAAAAAAAAGGGCTAAAAGGGCTCATATATATATATATAGAGCTTATAAAGATTTTTTATCTTTATTATTTTTATATTATTTAAAGCTCTATTTAAACTAAATAAACTTATTAAATAAATTTATTAATATATAAACTAATACTTAAATAATTAGTTAAATAACTAATTAAGAGGTTAGTTAATTAAAATACTACTTTGATAAGAAGTTATTTTATTAAAAATACTTCTTAATAGGTCCTCTTTTTAGGCTCGATAGATTTTTAAGCTCCTTAATACTTTAATTATTATAACTAATATAATTATATTTAAAACGTAATATAATACTTTTAATAATATAAAGTCTAATTAAAAACAATATAAATATTATAAATAACTGGCTAATATAAATATTAAAATTTAATATATTAATATTAATTTTAAAAGTTTTTATAAAACTAAAAATCTTTTGATACAGGTTATATTATAAATATAAGAGATTATATAAGGGTCTTTTAATTTTTAATAAAAAAATACGTAATATAAGATTAAATTACTTATATATACTAGTATTAAGAGGTCCTATACGTATTAAAATAAATAAAACTCGCCCTATAAATAAGTAATAAAAGGTCAGGAGCTATTTTAGTTAATAATTATGTATAGAGCGTAATTTTTTTAATACGTATATATAATATAACCCTAGTAAATTAGTCCGTTAGAGGCTTATTAATATTATTAAATTAAACTTATTAAATTATATTTTATAAACGTTACTTAATTATATTAACGTCGTTTAATATATAAATAGTTAAGAATAATTAAATTATTAATATTTAATATAACGAAACTATTTATTAGCCCTTTTATTATTATTAATTTAATTATTTTATTAAAAATATAATAAATATTAAGAAAATAATTAATAAGTTAAAATAATTAAATAGTTAAGTATAAATAATACTAATTATTAATTACTAATTTTTAACAGAACTATTAAATAAAATTAATAGTTAAAACTACTTATAAAGCTTAGTTTAAAAATTAAGATTTGATAATTATTTTCTTAAGAAAAATTTAAAAGAGTTTAATAAAAGATTGATAATTAGTTATAAATATTTATTAGATTTTCTTTTAAGTTTAAACTAATTATTTAGCTTTTCTTTTCGTTTTTAAACAAAAAGAGGTTAAATAAATTTAAATACTAAGTTTATAAATCTTAAAAATTTAAAAGAGTTTAAAAGAATATTAAATATTATAAAATTAATTTTGATTAGTTTATAAAAGTCGAATTATTTAATAAAAGCTATAATTATTAAATAGTAATAATAAAAATTAGTTAATTAATTAAGTATAGTTAATAGTAATATTTTAAAATTATATTTATTAGAGGGATTTAAAAATAGAAAGGAGAAGGAGAATAAAAATAAGTAACTCAACTTAATAATTTAACTTAGTTACTCCTTTAAATTAGCTCTATAGTATATAAATATTCTATTATTAATAAAAAAATAGCCTATTTACTTCGTTAAAGCTTATTTTTAGAAGCGTAATTAATTATCTAGGCTTTAGTATTTTAAATAAAGCTTATTATTACTAGCTTATTTAGTTTTTAGTTTATTTTATATACTACGTACGTAAAAAGCTCGCCCTATATAAGTATATTTTTATATGTGATATTCTATTATTACTTCATATCCCCATAGCTGCGGAATGGCGCTAGTAGACACGTCCCCGATTTTCTTTAACGCTGATTCTATTATAATCCCTTTCATTGAGTGCATCGAAAGGAAATAAGACGGCAATACTAGAAAACAATAAGGAAGAATACGTGATACGTAACTCCCTCTCATATAGAATACGTATCTATGTACTGACCCGATTCCGCAGTCGATGGGATAGGTATGGGTGCTCCAAGATCTGATCGCACCGGCCAAGCAATTTTTCCAGATGCATCGGAACCGATACACAATGATAGTCCAAGCACACAGCTTGTTGCTGCCGGTGACAATTTTATGACTCCAATGACAATCTGAGGTGCTGAAGACATGTAAATAAAAATAGAATGCATTCACGTTACGCTTAGCTCGAAATGGAGCATTGAAGATCAGGCCTGCAAGAATACGGGTCAACAGATGGCGTTTAGCTGTAAGCATCTAGATATAGCCACGCCTCTGTGGAGATTGTCAGATGCGAAGTGCGAAGTGCGAAGTGCGAGGTGCGGGATGCGAGGTGCGGGATGCGAGGAGCCAGGATGTGAGACACGACGGTTAGTCTCTTAATAATGAACGAGTAGGAAACTACATAAGTATCTTGAACAACATTTTCTCATTGCGTTCAATTGAGATTCTCGATATCATGTTAGCAGTTGCACGAACTTCTTTCTAGCCGATCGACGCAAATTGTCGCTTGACAAACCGGATAACTTCTCAATACTTATCATCAAACTCAAGTCACAATAGTGGTTCTTTGCGGCCGAAATGAACCTTTACAAGTACTCCCCATCCGGGGCAGCTGCTATAATATTTTTCGTTGCCTTCGTCATCGGCGGCGCATGGCACCTTTACATCATCATCCGTAAGCGAGCGTGGTACTTTACACCAATGCTGATCGGATGCACCTGTAAGCTTCTTGTCAATAGTCACTCGCTGCCTTTCTCTAGTAGAACCAAATGTTTGGAGATACCCGACTGACATCGAAACCGGCGTAGTTGAGCTGATCGGCTACATGGGCCGCTTCCTCTCCTCCAACGCCCCTGACGTAATCGGCTTCTTTATGATCCAAACACTTTGCCTCCTCGTGGCACCCGCACTCTTCGCCGCCTCCATCTACATGGTCCTTGGTCGTCTCATCATCCATCTCCGGTCCGAATCGCTCTCTCCTATAAAACCTTCACGGCTCACCAAGGTTTTTGTCATCGGCGACATCCTCTCCTTCATTGTACAGATCATGGGCGCCGGCATGTTGGCCAGCAGCAGCACCATGAACACAGGAAAGACGGTTATCCTACTCGGACTGGTCGTTCAGCTTATATTCTTCGGCTTGTTTGTTATCTCCTCGGCCGTGTTTCATTCGCGAGTGTCGAAGCATATGCCGCCAATCTTGATGGAGGAGGAGGAGGCAAACACGGGATGGAGGCGACTATTCAATGGTTGGAGGGGCGTCATGAGCGTTCTCTATATCGCTAGCGTCTTGATTTTTGTTCGTTCGCTGTTCCGACTTGCCGAGTACGTCGAGGGCAATGACGGCGCACTGCTCGGCACCGAAGTGTTTCTCTACATCTTTGATGCCCTGCTCATGGTCGGTGTTGTGGCCATTACTGCTGTCTTCCACCCGGCCAAGTACGTTCCAGGAAAGAAACAACTTCTCGTGTTGCAGAGCATAGAACGCAGATCCTGAGCCTGCCGCATCAGGAGGGCACTTCTCAGAGAGGATGCATCAAATCATTTGCTCTGCTTTGGTGACTAAGGAATTCAACTCTGCTTGAGCCTGTTTTAAAGTGTAAGAAGCCGCTGAGATAGATGTACGATACATCATTATAGACTTATAGGCTCAGAATTTCATTCTATACCATCAAAAAATCCCTCATGATATGGCTCATCACCCGTGCCCTGACAAGTCGCGAGCTCAGACAAGAAGGGCGTGAGCAAACCCAAGTCTTTTACCAGCACAGCAACTTTGGGGGCCGCTAAACAGCTCTGCCATATGGGCCCGACGGCTTCGGTAAGCTTATCCATGTCTGCCGGGGCGACGTCTCGGTACAACCACGTCTGCGGCAGCCAAAGGGAAAAAGCGAGATAGTAGGCCATGACGACGAGGGCCCGTGGCCGCTTCTTGCGGGCCATGTCAACGAATCCGGACGTCACAAACGCAAAGGGCCATGTTCGGACTTTGTAAGCGATACAAGGCTGTCTTGCGTCGTCAGAGATGCGGGAAAAGACATCGCACTCTGAACAGAAGAGTGCGCCAAATAGCCTCTTGATGCCCTTGACTGCACGCCGCAAGTCATCGATATGGCCCCAGTCCTCATCGCTTTCGTCGATGCCCATTTGAACTAGCTCAAGATCAGGCACGACGGTCACGGGACAGGTGTGACTGAAGTCCGAATCCTTGTCGCTCGTTCTCTTGTCTCCTCTCCCTCGCCCATCGCTGGAGGGAACGCCCAGCGTCGTCCTTCTCCAAGGCAAAATTGTTCGCGGACCTATGCTCAAGGCTAGGTAGTTTGTCAACCAGATACCATTGTCCCCGGAAAATCGATCCGCGGCGAGGGCCGTGACGGCCAGCAGAATCGATGTCGCTACTACGGCCCGAAACCTATCATTCGGTCTCTCTACCATTGTGACTTGCGAGCAGCGCATGAGTTCTATACGCAATCGACGGAAGGCCTGATCTCGGTACAGGGCCAGCTGCGGCAAGCCGTCTTTCGTTGACTCGTCAGTGCTTGATAGGTGCAGCAGGGCGACTGAGAAGATGGCGTCCAGAAGAAAGTGGTTCTGGAAAGCTAGCTGGGGAATATCTAGCCGCAGGGACCGACAAGCACGATCCTCGAGCTGGAACGTTGCGGCGAACGATTCGACGGTGAAGTTGGAGTAGTGGTGTAGCAGGCGCAAATGGTCCATCTCATGGTTCGTATATAGCGGGCGAAGATCGCACAGCATCGGCTCTTGCCCCTCTCTCGTTACTCGGGAATGCTGCTCGACAGTGTTCGTTTGCTCAATTTCCCCAATGGAAAACCCGTTCGCGGGCGACAGGTTGCTCTGTGATGTGCAGTTTGAACGAGGCGTGTAACGACAATACGTCTGGCGCCTTGCACATGCCGAGCAAGCGGGCTTCTTTTCATCGCACTAAATGCAGCGTCTTCCAGTCAGCGGGAGTTGATTACATGCTACACATTCACTATGCAAGAGACTGCAAACAGAAGAAACGTAGATAGGGAGTACGCGCCTTTACGCGTCTGAGCTTGCAGTCAATGCATCCATTCCTTGATTTAGTATGATGTCGTGTGGCGTGCACCTTGACTACCGCGGGAGAAGGTTTCATTTCGTACAAGGCCGTCTTTACTATGTGAGCAGCATGGAAACCAAGTTGCTATGCCGTAAGGTTTTCGATAGAGTGGAAGAGAACGGAGAATTTAGCAACACCTTGGCCACGCTATTCGGTGACAGAAGCCTCAGGTCCAATTGGAATCCCTGGCAGAGCTCAGAGGGATGTCTTGCAGAGGTAAGTGGGAGCTTTCCGGAAAAAAGGGGGCAGTGTTCGCTAAAACGCGTAGCCAGATACGTGTATCCGTATCCGGAAAGTTCCCGATACCCTCACCACAAGGCAGCTTGAGAACCCACCGTAATGAACCCCTTTGGAATGGCCATTTCTGAAGACACGTACATGACGAAGCTGAGAATTTATCTCACAAGATACCAGAAGAAAAAGTGGGGAAAAAGTGAGATGTTAAAGTTATCTACATATTTAGTATCTTGGACAACTACTTGATGATAGAGATGAGAATTCGAACTACGCTCTGTCTTAGTCGTTCCGCATCTCCCAGGTCTCCCTCATAGTAGCCCAGTACTCATCCTTATTTCCACGAGCATGACTGTAATTGTCGGATCGGTCAGGTCACGTGAGCGGGTCTAAGCGCCTCTGTGGCGCCGTCAAGCCACCTTGGTAAGCTCGGCGAGCTCCCCGAGTGGCGGCTAAACCGCGCAGCGGAAATCTCGCCGCAGTACTCCGTAGAAGCACCTCAATACACAAGCGTCGATTTCACAGTACTGCACACTGTGTCTAAATCTGGCGACGTCGGTGAGTCCTAACAGCTTATCGGTCTCCTAGGTATGATAAACCTAAACATCCTTCTATACATTAAGGTCGCCTGCCTTAGAGAAGATACACGTGCGCGGAGATTATTCATCTTTTTTATAATACATTTAAAATAGTAAATAACTCGATATACTTACTTATAATTATTAAATATAATATTATTACTTTAGCTTATTTATATTTAAAAACTCGTATTATTACTCTTAATTTTATTTTAATTTTAAAAAAATACTTTTTATCTTTTTAATATTTTAACTTTTTTATATAATTTTTTTAGAATGAATAACTCTCTTTACTATATATTTTATTTAAGTAGTAGTACTTCTTAGACCTCTTTTTATCAGGGTGGTAGAGTAAGGGTGCTTTGACTTAACTACGCTTGGCTGGCCCGGGCGCCTCTGTGGCTCTTCTACTACGTAACGCCACCTTAGTAAGCGCAGCGAGATTACCGTGGCTCGCTTAGACCACGCTACGGAAGTCTCACCGCCAGAGAAGCTCAACGACCAAGACATAATGGTCAAATTCACAGTCGCAGGCCATCGCTACCTAAGACATTTACAACCTCGACTTCCCACGACATCAAAACCTACTCAAGTTGGACCACCCTGAAGAGATGCCTCGCAAGGGGAGTCAAAAGGTTAAGACAGGATGCATTACTTGCAAGTAAGTCCGCGCCGAACCCGCGTAGTATGCGTCTCGTCTCGTATCTCGCATAAGTTGAGCTGATAATGCACGAGAGTCCGGAAAGTCAAGTGCGACGAGACCAAACCAAGCTGTTCTCGGTGTACGACCACTGGTCGCATTTGTGACGGCTATGGCTCACGACTCGCCCATCCACCCCAGCTCACTCCCGAAGGAGTGGCTTCCCTGTCTCAGCCACATATTGTTTTCCCAAGTACAACGGCCAAGGAGGGCCGCGCTTTGCAGTACTTCTGCGAGGTCGTTGGGCCAGCCATGTCTGGTACTTTAGACCCCTACTTTTGGACACACCTTGTCCTGCAGGTCGGGGCCAATGAGCCCGCGGTCAAGCACGCTCTTGTCGCGATAAGTGGTCTCTTTGAGCAAGTTGACGAATTGCAGCAAGAGGTCACCGCGGGCCAGCGACTCGTCCACCAGAGACAGGCATTGCACCACTACAATGCAGCAATCCGGGAACTCAAGACCCAGGACTTGAAAGAAAAGCAGATTGTTGTGCTTGTGGTTTGCCTTCTATTCATCTGCATTGAGGCCTTACGGTCAGATGTGCAGTCGGCTGTACGGCACGGTCGACACGGGATCGAAATCTTGAAAGCCGCGTTACCTAACAGCGGGTGGATCAAAGATCACCTGCTGCCCATTTTTCGCCGTTTGAGCGTGTCCGCCTTTTACTTCAGCGATAATGACGGCACGTTCCTTGACATGCCCGAATTGTGGGAGCCTGCCCCATGCTCCTTTTCAACAGCGTATGATGCTCAGCACATGTTTGACGTCATCATCGCCCGGATATCGCACCTAACGCTTGTCATTGCCGAGACGGGACAAAAAACAGATGTGGAGCTTGAGGGGACCAAAACACAACCCCCTTATTTTGACGATCACCGGGCCGAACAAGCTATTGTCAAGAATCTTCTGGAGAAGTGGCTGTATATGTTTGCCCAGCTCATCGCCAAGATACATCATATAGATGCGAGCGGGAAACGCTTGAGTTCCCAAGAGCAGTATCAGAAGAAGAAGATGCAAGTATTCATGCTGACTCGCTACGAGGCCGCTCGAATATGGATCGAGATGGCATTTGACGGAGACACCCCGAAAGCCAGAGGCAGGTTTCTTCCTAATTTTCAAAGGGTACTCAAGCAACTTCAATGGCTCCAGTCTCAGATGCCACCGGGTGTTCAGACTGCCACCGGAAAGCAGTCGCCGCAGTTCATGTTCGAAATGGGATTCACCGCCATCATCTTCTACTTTGTATCCGCATGTCCTTACCCCGAAATGAGGCTCGATTTCCTAAGGTTCATGCAGCTTTTTGGACTTCCGAAAGAGAACCTCTGGGATCGAGACGTTCTGATGGCCGCAGGAAGAAAGATTATCGAAGATGAGAATGGTATCAAGTTGGAAGGTCGTGAGCGGTCGCTAACGTTGCCCTCGAGTCCCGGCCCTCTCATTGATCTTGCGACGCCAGGGTCATCGATATCTACACAACCAACTATACATCCATCAGATTTCTCCTCGCCGCCAGCGGATTTTGACGATTTCTTTGACGATTCTTCCACATTTGTCTTTAACAAGACATTGAAATCACATCCCTGGTGCTCTATGCCGTGGAGCATTCAGATAGGCCCACGAGAAACTTCGAAAATGAATCAATAAACATAAGTGTAACGCGGTTGGATACATAGAGACTCTTTGCCTATCTTACCTATAACATTGTTTCATGGTGAACCCCATGCTGTGATTCTCAAGTTCATTCCAAGATTGAAACTGACGAAATCATAGCCTTTATCTCGAACTTGCCACCGTGTATTAGGTATTCCATCAGATGCCGAATGGCGTCAGTACATTGCCACTTGTGGTAGTACCGAATCACGTATTGTTTCCTATTTCTACAT